GCCACCTCCATGAGCCTCCTCCAAGGACACAGCCCCCACCATCATCCTCAGATGATGCCACCTCCATGATCGTCCCCCACCATCATCCTCAGATGATGCCACCTCCATGATCGTCCCCCACCATCATCCTCAGATGATGCCACCTCCATGATCGTCCCCCACCATCATCCTCAGATGATGCCACCTCCATGATCGTCCCCCACCATCATCCTCAGATGATGCCACCTCCATGATCGTCCCCCACCATCATCCTCAGATGATGCCACCTCCATGAGCCTCCTCCAAGGACACAGCTCCCACCATCATCTTCAGATGATGCCACCTCCATGAGCCACCTCCATGACCATTCCCCACCACCATCCTGAGATGACGCCACCTCCATGAGCCTCCTCCAAGGACACAGCCCCCGCCATCATCTTGAGATGATGCCACCTCCACGAGCATCTCCGTTTCCTACTCCGCCCCACCAGCGAGTGGGCCGGGGCTGGGCAAGAGGTTGGGAAGGGACACAGCTGGGACAGCTGACCCGGAGCAATGAAAGGGATACTCCATCCCATATGACGTCATGACGACCAATAAAACGGTGACGAGGGGGGTTTGGGGAGGTAGCCATTGCTTGGAGCCGGTTGGGCATGGGTCTACTTGGGGGGGGGGCAAGCGGTTGCCTTCGTATCCCTTATTTTGGGTTTTTTTTCCTTCTTCTTCACCCCTTTTCTTATTAAATTACATTTGGGGAACGTTCTAACGAACCACACACCTGAATTTGTTTGCTCTGCAAGCATTTTTTTTTCATGAACCACAAGAGGAAAAGACAACCCGGGCGTCGCGGCAAGAAATTACGTCCACGGAGCTCTGGGTGGCGAGAGGTTCCTCGACGGGCGGCCGCTCTGCCGGGTCAGAGAGAGGCGCTCGATGAAGGGTTCGGTGGAAAAAAGGAAAAATAGAGACCGCAAGAAACGCGTTTTTCTGCATCCTGCGCTGCTGCCGCCCCGTTTGGGGGCGAGATGGAGGTTATTGGGGAAAAAAATAGAAACGGCAGACTGTAAAAATAGCATTTTTCTGTGTTCCATGTTGTTGCTGTGTCTTTTTGGGGAGAGATGGAGGTTATTTTGGAGAAAATAGAAAACACAGACTGAAAAAACCCACGTTTTTCTGCATTCCACGTTGTTGCCGTGGCATTTCGGAGGGATGAAGGTTATGCCATGAAAGCAGAAAATACGGAAGGCAAAATAAATGCATTTTTTTGCATTCCAGGTTGCTGCCGTCCCATTTCAGGGTGAGACGGGAGTTATTGGGGGGGGGGGGGGGGGGGGAGAAAGAGGGAGGACAGAGCGCTTTGTGGGGTGGTGAGGGGGGGGGGGGGGGGGGGGGGGGGGGGGAGGAAAAAGCAGATTGCACGAAGCAGATAGACCGATCCGCCTCACCATCCCCTACGCCTGGCACGGTGGGATGTCAGCGATGGGCCAGCACTCCTTGACGCCGGCCCTGACACCCACCACCGCCCGGCTACGAGCCCACCCCGTCACGGCCACACGATGCGGTTGACCATCGCCAAAATCACGGATCAGCCGCGCGGTGAAGGGGACGTGGACGTCCAACCGGCGTCCCTCCAGGGCCACCTCGCACGCCGTCCGGGGCTGCACCTCCTTCTCCACCACGTGGGTATGGACGACGTACTCGCTGGTGCTGGCTCCCCCTACCCAGGGGATGCTGGTGATGTTGGTGACCTCCCAGCCCATCCCATTGAAGACCAAGTGGCCGGCTCGCAACACCCCACGGATGGTGGCAAAGATCCTCTGGTCCATCTGCCAGTCGTGCTCCATCTCAGTGGCCTCCTCCAAGGTGACAGCTTTACGCACCCCTCGGCAGCCCTCGTTCCTCACCGTCGTCTTCATCAGGGTGACGTCCTCCCCCTGCTCCACCACCCCACTCATGTTGTAGCAGACATCAGAGATGGTGACATCTGCCGGGCCCTTCTTGACCACCAAGACTTGGTACCACTTGTACCAAACCTCCTCACCATCCACCATCATGAAGGCAGCCCTGTGCACTTTGGAGACCTTGCCCAAGCCATAGCGGTTCCTCCCAATGAAGACATCAGTGGATGAGCAGCCCTCCACGGCATTTTCGGGTACGTTGCCGAAGGAGTCGTCCACCCAACCCAGCGCCTCGAAGTCTCCCACGTTGACCAACACCTTGAACCTGTGGGTGCTCCGCTCCCATTCTCCATAGGGGAAGAAGCAGAAGGGACCTCGGTCGGGGACGTAGGCACCGATGTTGCAGCCAAGCGTCGTCGTTGAGCAGACATACTCCATCCTCTTGGCGTAGTCGTTCCAGTTGGAGACGGCATCGGCAGGCAGCTTGCCTTCAAAAGCCACCCACTTGAGGTACGAAGGTGGCTCTTCATCCCGCTTCCTCCGGGGAAAGCTCCAGCCAGAGGCTACGGGGAGAAAATGGGGGATTTTGGTGAAATGAGACGCCTCCACCCTGCCCCACCATCTCAAAGCTACCGGAGCAACGTCTTGCAGAGCCCCTCCTCGTTGGGGAAGCTGCCGGCGCGCAACGCCCCGCACTCGCCCTAGCGTGGATGGCCAAGAAAATGGTAAGACAGACATCTCAACCAACCCTTCTTAAATTTGGGGGGGCAAAATGGAGGGCAATCCTGCTACAAATCAGTAGAGCAGAGACCTTCACGCGTTGGAGGACAGAGGGATGGATGAGACCATGGACTGGGTTTAAGTGGCAAGGTTTTGGGTTGGTGGGGGCTGCAGCAGTGGCCACTGGGACAAGAGTCATGGGGCTGCCCCACATTGGACACAGCTGGGGCCAGCTGGCTTCTAAATGGAACCACAGCTGGCCAAAGCTGAGCCCATCAGTGACGCTGGTGGTGCCCCTCTGATAACGTATTTAAGAAAGACTAAAAACAACTGTGAGAGAGAGGAGTGAGAAAATGGGAGAGAAACAATCCTGCAGACACCGAAGTTGGTGAAGAAGGAGGGCGAGGAGCTGCTCCAGGTGCCGGAGAAGAGGTTCCCCTGTAGCCCTTGGAGAGCCCACACTGGAGCAGGTCCATCCTGAAGGACTGCAGCCCATGGAGAGGAGCGGGTCCATCCTGAAGGGCTGCAGCCCATGGGAAGGACCCACGTTGGAGCAGTTCATGAAGGACTGGATCCCATAGGTGTTATGAAGTGACCACAAGCCCCGTTCCCCTACGCCGCTCAGGGTGGAGAGAAGAAGGTAGAAGAGTCAGGAACGAAGGTGAGGCTGGGAAAAAGCTGGGGGAGGCGGTGTTTCTAGTTTTGTCTGTTTCTCACCATCCTCCTCTATTTTTAACTACCAATAAATTAAATTAATGTCCTCCAAGTCGAGTCTGTTTTGCCCATGATGGTAACGGGTGCGTGATCTCCCTGACTTTACCTCAACCCACAAGCTTTTTTGTCTTATTTTCTGCACGTTCCAGCCAAGGAAGGGGAGAGAGAGCGGCTGGGTGGGCGTCTGCCAGCCAGCCAAGGGCCAAGATCAACCCACCAGAGAGCAAGACTCACCTGGGGGCTGCAGAGGTCTCCTTCCCATCACTCCCACCGGCGGAGTTTCGGCAGCTCCGTCGGCCCCGCTGCTTCCTCGGCTGAGGAAGAGGAAGATGGCAGCGAGGAACAGCTGTGGGAAAGACCAGGGGAGGTGTCACCCCTCCGAGCACCCCAACGGTGACTCCTGGCCAGAAGTCGAGTCATGGCCGTAACCCGACGTCCCTTTGTCCGTCTGGTTTTTGGGGTGAAATCCCGCCTGGCCAGGACACGGCTTTAATTTTTAACCAGCCCAGAGGGGAAAGGCTGGGAAAAGGGAGAGACTGGGAAATGCAACACAGCACCCACTCATAACAACTCTCTTTTTATTACATTTATTTTATTATTTTATTTAATTTTTTACATAATCATTTTCTAGGAGCTAGGAAGCATCCCCTTTTTAGCCCTGAAGCAGTTAAAAATCCCCCAAATAACCCCAAACCGTGCCCCAGAAAGCGCCATACCTCACGTGTCGGCATCCCGCCGGCCACCTCCAGAGACTGCGATCTAAAAATAGCTGTTTAATAAAGAAACGTATTCATTTTGGCAGCCCCACGGCCACATCCTCCCCCCGACCCGGCAAATCGGCCCCAACTGATCCCTTGTTTGCTCCTACTGGGCTCCTAAATTCCCCAGCTCCACATTTTGGGGCTAAAACCAACCAGTTTGGGGTCTGCTGGATGTTTTACCCACGAGCCGCGGGCTCGATGTAAATCCCAACTGGCGTTTGCCCGTGTTCGCTGCCCCACGCCGCGTTCCCTACCTCGCCTCTGCTCCCACTTAGACGTAAATCCCTTTTTTTTGGGGGTGTTTTCAGTCCTTTTTGGGTCACTTCTAGACCGGAGCGATGTTTTCTAGCGCGGCTGAGCTCGGCCGGGGATTCGTGAGCCCTGGAAAAGGCCAAAGTCTGAACGGGAAGAGAAACTGCAAATAAATGCGAAACACAAAAAAAAAAAAAGGAAGGACAACTATTATCAGAAATTTAGCAATTTTTCTGCTTTTTGCAGAAATTTAGCATTACTTTTTTTTTTTGTCCAGTCAGAAAAACCATATTATTGATACCCAAAAAGCACCCGCAAACGGCACGAAACACCCATCGCCAGGCACCCGGGAGGTTCCACTCACCTCAAAATGCCGCTAAGAAATCGTTATTTTTGGGAAAAATCACATCAATCCCTATTTTTGTCCACGCTGGGAAAAAAAAAAAAAAATCCCTTTTTTTTTTTAAAAATAATCAACATTTTCCACTTCAAACCTGCAAATCAAAGCGACTTAGAGCCAACTCAGATCACCCACGTGGCTCTAGGACACGCAAAAAAAGAGCCACCAGCCCCAAAATCCGCACGGGTGCTAAATTTGGGGGTTTTCCCCCAAAAAAGGGAAGTTTTTGCAGCGAGGACCCAGCAGTTTGGGGAGTTTTTGCCCCAAAACGGGGCGGTGGCGGCCGTGCCCACGCGGTGTTTTCCGCTCTGCCCCCAAAATCCCGGTTTTTAGCGTGGAAATGGGATGGCCGGTGGTTTGGCGTCGAATCGGGGGGGGGCGCCGGCAGGGG